GTGATAACGAACATATGATTTATCTCATCAAGATGCTTGGCGACGATTACTACGGCTACGTCGTCCACGTACGCTACCAGTTTGACATTTCTTGGTAGTTTCAGTCTCAGCAATCCGTTGTACATGACATTCCAGAGAAGTGGACCGAGAACAGAACCCTGCGGTACGCCTCCAGTAACATCATACTCCTTTGGACCATTCTTCGTGTTATATCTCAGGACTCTATCTGTGAAGTAGCTAGCGACTATCCTTCGTAGGTATCCTGGTACGTTCATCTCTTGAAGGGCTTGCATGATGCAATCCCAGTTGGCGGAGTTGAAGGCATTTTTTATGTCTAAAGTTGCCACCAGGCAATATTTCTTTGTTCCCCCCTTCCATCTGGTACCGGCGATTGCATCTTTGGCTATACCGACAACCACGTTGATCGCGTCCAGGGTTGATCGTCCTTTCCGAAATCCGTACTGATTGTCTGCTAAGAGTGGATCGACAACTGCTTCTATCCTTTGGTGGATTATACGTTCTAGTATCTTACCGGCTGTATCCAGCATGCAGAGTGGACGATAAGATGACGGTTCTTCCGGTGGCTTTTTCCCTTTAGGAAGTAGTACCAGCTGTTGTTGTTTCCACTTCCGAGGAAAAATCCCTTCCTTCAAGCAGATGTTGTAGACGTCGAGGAATAACGCTGGCGCTGCTTTAATAGATGTTTTCAAGGCAATATTAGGGATTCCGTCCAATCCCGGTGCTTTATTATTCCCGACGCGGTTACAAGCTTCCATCAGTTCTTCTTTCGTGACAGGTGGAATATCATTCCGTTCGTCCTGTGTCAACAGATAGTTGAAAACTCGCTGTCGTGGAAACAGCGCAGTCACGATCTTCTGTAAGAGTTAAGGACACGTAGGAGACGGCATTGGCTGATATTTCAGGTGTGCCATGACTACCTTGTAAGGTCTACCCCACAAGTCTTTGTCCACCTCGTTGATTAGCTCTTTCCAGCAGTTCTTCTTGCTATCCTTGATGGCTTTGTTTAAATGTCGACGAGCTTTCTTGTATTCTGCGACTAGTTCCGCCGAGTCAGGCCGCCGATAACCACGCTGAGATATTTTCTTTTCTTGAAACACTCTTTCCGTAGGAAGCTGATGTATTCGTTCCACCAGTGCACCGAAGGTCTTTGGTTCATGCCCCGTTTACGGGGCATACAGGTGTCGCAAGCCTGGGCCACTCTCTTCATCAAGTCCTTGGTCATTTCTTCTGCAGATCCAGTAGTAAGCGGTTCACTATTTAGGGCAGCTGCTAGAGCACTTGGGTCAAAGGATTTCACCTTCCACCCAACGATGTCAAGTTTCTGAGCCGGTCTTCTAGGATTCTGGTCCTTTGATACTTCCCAGAGAATCGCGTTGTGATCGCTGGCCGTGTAGATCTCCATCACCTTCCAGTCGTCGTTTCCTCTGATGAGGCTGCTGCTGACAAAAGTAAGATCCACAATAGAACTTGCGTCGCCTTTAGTGTACGTCGGCGCATCGCCGCTGTTCAACAATACTACATCTAACGTAGAAAAAGCTTCCAGAAGTTCTTTACCTCGAGCGTTGGTGTGTTTGCTGCCCCAGTCCACTGCCCAGGCGTTGAAGTCCCCAGCTATTGCCACTGGGTAGTACTGCTTCGCGTCCTCCGTCAGTCGATCCAGAAAGTCCATGAATTCAACAATAGTGAGGCTAGGTGGTGCATAGCAGCTGTAAAAGTGGATGCCATCTACCGATGCTGCTACAAAACCGGCGCTGCCATTGTTAACGACACTCTGGAAGGGGAGCTTGCCACAGGACCATATGACAGCTTTTGTGGTGCAGTCAGTTTCCCATGGTTGGCCGCCGAGGTGTTTATACGGTTCCGATATAAGCACAAGGTCAAGCTTCTGTTCTCGTACTGTCTGCATGGGCAAATCATGTGCCGCCTCACAGTGGTTGATGTTTAGCTGCAGTATTCTCATTTTCGTTTATGAGTTATCTTCTTGAGTGCCTCTTGGTATACTGGGCATCTGCTTGTGCCGGCATGATGGGCGTTATTCTCTGTACCGGGTTGATCCGCACACAGTGCGCATTTAGCAGGCTTATTACATTCGGCGATTTTGTGTCCCTCTTCTCCACATTTAATGCAAAGTTTGGAGCGGTCGACTTCACTTGTGCACTGAACCGCACGGTGTCCAAAATGCCAGCATTTATAACATCGGACTGGTCTTAGTACTGTTCTAATACGACAGTTGGCCCAGCCGATCCTAATCTTGTCGTGTTCTCCTACCACTTTCTGCGCTACCGTTGCTGCCAGAGTCACCGACGTAATTTGTGTTCTGCTACGTAAGACCTTACGAATTTTAATAGCCTCTACTGTTATGCCACAATCGTTTCCAGCTGCCTCTTGTAAGGCTGTTAGAATGTCATCTTTAGTTGTAGTATCGTCAATATCGTGAATTTCCAGGTCTTCTTCAGGTCCTGTACTACTGACATTTGCGTCCTCCTTAAGTATTCCCGCGATAGTCTTCTGCAGGTCTTTACCTCTATCACTACTGCCTTTCGACAGCGTGATGAGAATGTTCCCTGTCGCGGTCCTGCGTATCTTCTCGACTGTGTTGCGGACCTGATCCGGGCGAACGTCCGCCTTGATCCGTGTAAGTATTTCAGAATACTTATCTTTGTTCGCTGGACAGATAATAAGTGCCTCAGGTCTCGTTGCTGCTCTTCTTGGCTTCTGGTTCGGCTACGGTGGAGGCATCAGAGGTTTTTCTAGGGGCAGTTTCCTGCGCTCCTTCCTCTTGTCCTTTCTGGACTGCACCTTTTCCCAGCCTGGCTTCTTGTTCTGTTCACCAGAGTTTTGTGGAAGCTCCTTAACCACTTCCTGCTTCTTGATGGGATGACTCAAGTCCAAGGTCTTTCAGCTTCTTGGGAGTATGAAAAGCTCCGCCTTCGGGAGAACGAATTTTTCTTTTCAACTTCCTCAGGTTGCGGCCGTCTTGTTCAAAGGATTCAGTCTCTGCCGTTGTGATAGTTTCACTTTCTTCTTCAGCGACTGATTCTCCGTCACCTTCGGCTCCAGTGTCCATCGCTTCTTCAACAGCCACTTGACTGTTTCTCTCCGATGTAGCACAGGGGGTGCGGTGTAATGATGAGCGCCATTCTTCGTCCAGTTTTTTGAAACGTTGAAGTGCGTTCGCTACACTAGTCGTCTTGTTTTTTATCTCCTTTTGGATGTTGACCTTTGACTGGACGAAATCATTTAACTCGCTGGTCAGTTTCTCGAGGCGTTCCAACGCTTGTGACCGCTTCATTTCAGCGCTCGCTTCATTTCAGCGCTCGCTTCAATCGCTGCTTGTTGGGCGTGGAGCTCGTTTTCACTCATATTTATTTCCTTTGGATTACTCATACTTTTAAATTTACCAGCGCATCGTACGGAGTGGAGCGGGTTGCCATAACTAAGAACGGGTGTACCCTCGGAGATAGTACTCCTACCCCAGTTCCCTGAGGCCTAGTCGACACTTAGCCAGTCCCGGAATACACGGACGGACTAGACTCGCCCGGGGTGGTGAAGATTCCGATCTTTAACACTCGCTGCGTACTTCCTGATCAAGGCCCGAAGTGACTGGCTCCTGATCCACTGCTGCAACTTACACCTCGGCAGAGGAAGCTCACATCAGCCGTGGCCCGCATCGTCGGAAATAATCGACGCGGGTTCCGGACACTCCCAGTGAGTTACAGCAGGGAACGATCGTCTTGCTAGGTCAGTTAGTGTAACCAACCCATTACAGGGGAGTTTTGTCCACGGGAGCTTATTTTGTTTGGTTATTTTGCTTGGCTCCTACCCACTGTACTTCATCAACTAAGAGATTAAGTGTCATCCAAGGACAGCGAGCATCCTCCCATCCGCTCGGGGAGACGCGTCCGGTAGCAGTTTCTCTTCAGCCCCGAATGAGTGTGTGTGTGTGTGTGTGTGTGTGTGTGTGTGTGTGTGTGTGTGTGTGTGTGTGTAAACCTCTTATAACTTCTGAACGGCTTGACCGATTTGATTGCAGTTGGTGTCATTCGAAAGGTCTTCGCCAAACTTAGATTTCCTGTAAGTTGGAACCGATTCGGACCAGTAGATTTCGAGAAATTGCAAAAAAAGTTGTTTTTTTTTTTCATTTTTTTTTAAATATCTCCGAATTGGCTGAACCGATCGACCTCAAAAACTAATCAGCTCTTAACCTTAAAAACCCGCATCGATTGCCACAAAAAGCGTCAGAATCGGTTGATGTGTTCGTGAGATATCGTTGTCAATAAAATCGAAAAAAGTGTTTTTTTTTTGTAATAACTCCGAAATTTTTCATCAGATCAATTTTTTTGTCCAGAATTATTTATAGAGCTCAAAAAACTACATCGATTGCCGCTAACCGCGTACAAATCGGTTAATTCATTCAAAAGTTATAGCAGTTTGAAAATTAAAAAAATCGTGTTTTATCGAACTGTGATAAGATTTTTGAGCTAGAAGAGCTCAAAAGCATAGGAAAGCTATCTCTTGGAGCTTGGAGAGCTTAAAATAACACATAAACTGTATTTTTGAGCTCGAAGAGTTATAAAACATCATAAATGCAATTTCAAGCGTTTAGGTATAGAATTGGCGGGAAGTTGCAGGGATGGCCTTCAAGGTCAACCGTTTTCCTAATTTTTTTTTTTAATTTTCAAAGTGATCACCTACCTTAAAAAGAAAACTTGAAAAAAACAAGTGAGACCTCTCTCAAGTGATACTATAACATAAGCAATTGTTAAAAAAAATCGAAGGTGCAAAGCCAAATGGTGTCCGATTTGGCGTGAAATGCCTCAAATACTAAACAATACTTCCGATTAATAATTTATATTATAAAAAATGCAGTCACAAGGTTTAAGTAGAAATTAAGGGACGTTATAATATTGATTACTAACTATAAATATATAAAAAATTACAACTACATACTATTGTTTATTTGTAATACTTTATTGCAGATTTATTAGTAAGTGTAATCTGGGGTTTAGGAGTTGGAACTTTAAGTACTTGGGGAGTATTACAACTGATGACTTATTTACCGGGATGCTTTACATTAGGTGAATGTATTGTGGTAATGCATGGAGTTATACTATTTCTCTTATCGAGTGGAGCAAATTTGTCTTTACGATATCATTTACCTCCTTTGCATGATGATGACATCGCTACGACAATTTTACAGGTGAGAAATTTTATTAATGCCAGCATGATAAGTTTGTAATACCTAAGGTAAAATTTTATATTTGAAAATTGTGAAAGTAAAGATATTGAAAGTCTAGTTCTGGATTACGATGTGACAGTTGTAATTTTTCATACAATTTTTTTTCCGTGTACCATATTCATTTCCTAGCGACACTTAAATTTATTTGCAAAAACACTAAAAAATGTCCATCTCAGATCCAAAGGGTTATTACTAATATCACTACTACAGTATAACGTCAACCATTTTATTTTATCAGTAAGACATATACAGCCTGTATGTTTATAGGTCTACTGTCGATTCATCCCGGGAAAAAATGACCAGACATGAACAGGCATGAGTCTTCAGGCCTGATCAAACACTCTGTGAAGTACATAACGTATCAAATCAGTTTATCATGAATATAATATAAAAATTGATTTTATAATATATTTTGATAGTCATATAATAATTTATTTATTTAACCGAATCTTATTATAACATCACATTTATTTAAATAATAAAATAAATAATGATTTAAATATTAGGCAGGAGCAGAGCAGACCAAAACATCCCATAGGAAATGTAACAAACTTTTTATTTCAGAATTATTTAAACGTAATAAACATCATTTTGCACTTTTTGTGATTGTGATTACCAAGAAAAATTTTTTCTTCAAAGAAAAAATTTTTAACACATCTGACTATGCAAGTCTGATCAGATCTAATCATAAATAGACTGTTTATAATTGTTCAGACATGAACAGGCATGGTCATTTGGCCATGTATGATCAGGCCTGAGCGTATTTAACGCTTCAGACATGACAGGCATAGACAGGCATGATCATGTCTAATTTCAGGCCTGATCATACATGAACAGGCATGGTCAGGTCTGATCATTTTTTCCCGGGATAGTAATTTTTAAATTCAAATTAATCATCGATATTCAGCTATCTGTCTCACCAGAGAATTGAACAGTTTAACCAAAGTCACATCGTTTTTACAATCACTGTTCGACCTCAGTATGATTCCAAAAATTCTATTGACCTTAGCTATGATGTTATTTAATTATCCCTCTAAGGATAACTTATTACTGTCTACGAAAATATAATAATCACGAATTCCTTTAAATTGATAAGTAATTTCCGTACAAATTTAATAATTGTGGTGATCAGTTACCTTGCACCGGTTGAATTTAATCATAGTACACACTTCTCGATATGAATATTTATTCACTTTCAAGCTATTTAGTTTACACTATCTACACAATTTTTTAATGTTTTTTTGTAGAGTATATCTGTTACCATCATTTTTAATGTACCTAAATATTTTTTAATCATCAGAAAAATGTGAAAACTCCTTAATTAATATATTGCGGATGTAGTTTAAAAATATACAGAACAGTATTAGTCCAAGATGATTCTTGTGGAGCATCAGACGATGCCCTGAACTCCTTGGAGATGAAATCCATAATCTTGACCCGTAATCTTCTTTCTTTTAGGTATGATGAAAATCAATTCGTAAGTTTCCTGAAATGCCATATTTTCTGAGCTTAATCAGAAGAACTTGGTGATTTGTCACGTCGAAGGCTTTATTGAAGTCCGTTACAGTGTACGTACATCTATCTTCTCTGACTTGCTCTTTACAACACCGTATTGTTGATAAAATAAGATTTCCCTGAACCATAACTCAATGCTGTTGAAAATTATCTTTTTATAAAATTTGAGAAAAGTCAAACTCCACCAGGATGTCAACTTTGTTTTTGGTCAGAGGATCATCTTTCTCATAAATACTTCTAAAAATTCTGCAAAAAGCTTTCATACATCCTTCACTCTTTCAGCCTTGCTGTCGTTCGAATCCATTGTAGACAAAATCCCCCGATCTGAGCCCTTTTTCATCATGAGATATTTCCAAAAATAGGTTGAGTCCAAGTTAATACTTTCTTCAGCATTATCCGTAAAATCCCTATAACAATTTATGAAAGTAGTTTACACTCGTACCTTAGTTTACTGAACTTTTCGGAATTTTAATAAAAGCCTGTGCTCTTGTTATGTGCTGCCCTTTTGGCTTTTACTTTGCTAATTAGAAATCTGCTGAACCAGCAGGGATAGTTAAAGCCTTTTATAACAGGTCGAGGACCGAAAGCTTCCATTATTACATAGATAACAATGTTTTTATTGACGAAAATAAAACGTTTAAAAATAGATGTCCTATCTTTGATATATTTGAATAAATAGTTGAGAATCGAAAAATTTTAATTTTTAACTAGGTCAAATAAAAAAAACTTACACAAACTCAAAAATTGCTCTTAAATAATACAGAATAAAATTATCTTGAATAGCTTTATATAGGTTTTAGATCGTTTTGCTACGATAAATAAAAAATTATTAATACAAAAAATATTAAACTCAAACTCTTAAAACTTGAAACTTAGAGCTTCAGTATGTTTTAATAATTATTTATTTCTTAAATTTTTTACCTGGAAATTTTAATCATGTATTATATTTTTTCATTCATGTATCTTATATGTAAAATCATGTCAATAATTTTTTGTTTAACAATTTATTTAATAATAATTTTTCATTTTAGGTGGGCATTCTTTACATTGGATTATTATCTTTACTTTGTGTCTTTTATCCTAAATTACGATCTGCAAAGTTATTTTATTCAATAACTTTTGGACTGTTGATACTGGTGGTAATACCTGTGTTACACATTTTATTGGATCAAAGTCCATTATTATGGATGTTGTTTTTTGTGTTCGGAAATTTTAGGAAAGTAAATATTGAAAAATTTATCTAAGTGTCATTTAATTAGTTATAAAAGAATATGAATTTTTTTACATTTTTATTTGTATAGATATTTCTGATTATGTATTGGATTGTATGTCTGTTGATTGGCATTATTATTATAACTCATCAAATATTATCTGAATCATCAGCAAGTACGATAGAACGAAAAACTTTTCATATTTTAGCAGTGTTAGTCTACACCCCAGGATTAATATGGGAACCAACATTACTTTATTTTGCAAGTGGAATTGTTATGATTTTATTCATGATGTTTGAGGTATTGAAACATATAGCAATTCATCGCTTTATTCAATAATTATGAATATGATATCTGATTTAATAATTAGAATATTCATTTTTAGCTAATGCGACTGATAAACTTACCGCCACTGAATAAAGTTTTAAAACTTGGATTTTCAGCATTTGTAGATGAAAAAGATTCATTAATTTCATTAACGCCATTATATCTTCATGTTGGCTTATCATTTCCTTTATGGATGCCATCAAGTAATATTGGTTTGTTACCTTTAATTAGTGGAGTCACCGTATTAGGAATAGGCGATTCAGCAGCTAGTTTTATTGGCAGTAAATATGGAAAACTTAAATGGCCAAAAACATCAAAAACAGTAGAAGGTACTATCGCTTGTATTCTAGGTCAGCTATTATTCATTTATGGATTAGCAATAATAGGTAAGTTATAGATAAATCTTTACATTTTAATTATGTTGACTTTTATATTTAATATATTGATCTTCCACTCGTTTAGGCGTCATTCCGAGTGGTTGGGTTCTTGTTAAAAGTACTCTTGCAATAATTGCAGTATCAATTATTGAGGCGCGAACTAATCAAGTTGATAATCTTGCTCTACCTCTTCTTTTATATATTTTTTTGATAACTTAACCATTTTTACGTTTTACATATAAAAATTTGTACATAACAAATTCTAACACAAGTCTGAACAAAGAAGCTTGAGTGAAATGTTCAATTTTTATAAATTTTAATACAAAACCAATAACAATTCAGTGAAAAATAATAATAATTAACTTTCTATCAAGTATCATCTAAAAAATTATTGTTTTGAGTGTTTTAATATATTCCTTAGTATTGTAACGACGAAATTTACTCAACAATCTAACTTTTGAAGATGATACGGAGGAATAAGTCATTTCATATGCTTTTTCCTATCTTTATATTAGATTTTTTACAAAAATAGTCATTTTTTACTCAAATTGATAATAACGGTTACTATCTATATAGATGAAATAATCATTTACAATAATAAATCATTTTTTATAGTAGAAATTTAACAAAACTCAAAGACTTAATACTTTTTTTTTATTAGAATCGCATTCCTGAAATTAAATATTAAGAATATTTTTGTAAAGAAAATAAAAATTTGGATTTTCATAATTTTAGTATTGAAATTATTTATAAAATATTTCCCTGAAAATAAAAAGTACTTGAGTACAAAAAATAATAGAATAAAACAGAAAAAAAAATTATTTTTTAAAAATGTTAAACACTTTATTGATTACAGAGGCTACAGAAGTCTCGATAAGAGAAGCTGTTGAGTATTATTACCTTAAATCATCTCTTTTAAGGCCACCTTGCTTTCTTTATAAACGAGCGTGTACCTCTTTGCAAAGTGTTTAGGACAAATTATTACGTGATTACCTGTAACTGCGAAAATTATCGCGCCTTTTGTTTTGTTGAATAACCAATTGGTCTATAAATTAGTTATTCAATGTAATATCTTTTCAATCTTGGCATATTTTATGATGAAAGTGTAAATACTTCAATGAACATTTAATGTAAGATATCATAAGAGATCTGGAATGGACTCCAATAATTATAAAGCAAACCTGAACTGGTCTTGTTGACTGTGCCTATCTGATGACAGTAGTTGGTCCAAAACATTTCTGAACATCTCTACTTAAATTTCTGCAGATGAAAATCCTCTACCATGGTAAATTTACAATTTATTTTCAGAAGACAATGGCTACCCGGGAAAAAATGAATTTGCCTAATCATATATACACGGGAAGAAAATTGAAGGAGTTATTACTACTTTACTATTGTAATTTTTACTAAATAAAATAGTAACGGTGGACTATACTTCTCATTTAGTAATTTTTACGATCTACTATTGTAAATTTTATCCAACAAATAACACTAGCAAGAGTTTTAAAGAGTCGAATACTATAGAGCAAATTATACAATATGTGTTTGTGAACTTTACAATTCAACTATTGTAAAAATTCACAGTTGGTTTTTTTAAAAGAAATAGTATGGGAGGGAGAGAGATAGAAGGTTGCACGAATTGGTACCTGTACAGTAATCGAAAAAAGAAACAAATATTTTCGTGCTATCTGGGAATCGAACCTAGAACTCTGTGTTGGTAGCCAGAGACTCTCCCTTTAGGCTATCCGCGGTAAATTAAGACCCATGGCCTTTAACATTTATATAAACTCAGAGTCTAGCGCTGTGCACGGCCATCACTCACACTAATTGAGAGACATTCCAATTCAACTATTGTAAAATTTGCTATAGTTCTATTGGAAAGATACAGAGGCAGCACTGGAAATTTTCATCTCTTACTTTTTACAATAGTAATATCGTATTTTTTCATTAATAAATAGTATTTTTTCTTCTAAAATATTTGATAATTAATAGTAATAAAGGTATAATCCAGCTTTACAATAGTTGTATCGTAAATTTTCCCAGAAATTTTTTCCCGTGTAGTTATATATAATCACTTATATATAATTAGATCTGAAAATTGGCCAGATCTAATCATATATAATCATACATAATTAGATATAATTATTTCTATAAAAATAAAAAATATTCACCGCGAGCGGGGATCGAACCGGGGACCTGACTCTTTAAAGACCAACACACTACCTGTTTACCTACGAGACTTACTGGAAGAGTAAAGCTTGAAATACCTACAACTAATGCAAATCGAATACATAATCAATTTTTATAAGTTAAATTAATTAATACAGTTCCATTATTTCATCCACAAAAAACTATAGTTTAAAAAATTATTAATCATTGGAGTAGCAGACTCTGAGATGAAAACAGAGAATGTTTTACAGTAATCACAAAATTTATATATAATTATATATATGATTCATATATAATTAGATATGATTCATATATAATTAATAATTATATATGATTTATATATAATCATATATGATTTATATATAGTTATAAATGATTCATATATAATTATATATGATTTCCGTATAGTTACACTGATATGTTTACCTATACGAGACTTACTGGAAGAGTAAAGCTTGAAATACCTACAACTAATGCAAATCGAATACATAATCAATTTTTATAAGTTAAATTAATTAATACAGTTCCATTATTTCATCCACAAAAAACTATAGTTTAAAAAATTATTAATCATTGGAGTAGCAGACTCTGAGATGAAAACAGAGAATGTTTTACAGTAATCACAAAATTTATATATAATTATATATATGATTCATATATAATTAGATATGATTCATATATAATTAATAATTATATATGATTTATATATAATCATATATGATTTATATATAGTTATAAATGATTCATATATAATTATATATGATTTCCGTATAGTTACACTGATATTAATAGAAGGATTTGTTTATATTTATTGAGCTTTATTAACTGTTAATAAATACGATTTATTAAATGTTAATAAATATTTGTTAACAGTTAACAAATATTTATTTAAAATCAAAAGCAAAAATAGCAATTTTCTTTTGACATTTTTTATAACCCGACAGCTGGAATACATAACTGTAACACATGATAATAATTCAAATCACTAAATAAATTAACGTTTTTAATATTGAAAAATTTAAAAGATAATTATGAGCTGTGATAGAATTCGGTATGTTACAATAAACGTTATTATCATGTAATATAATTAATAAAAAAAATAATTTATAAAGATGATTTTTGTTTATAAGCAATCTTCATATCATATGACATTGCAAGTGGAACAAATTAACTCAACAAAATATTTATTATATACAATCATTAAAAAATGCTGCATCTAATTATATATTATTATATATTAATGAATGTAAATTTATAATTTACATTTGATTAGATATAATTATGTACATAGCTTTACGTTTAATTATATACATGGTCCTATATCAATTAGATCTGATCAGATATAATCATATATAGATTTATATATAATCATATATAGCCCTAGATAACTCAGGTCTAATCAGATCTAATTATATATAGATTTATATATAATCATATATAGCCCTAGATAACTCAGGTCTAATCGGATCTAATTATATATATAGATTATATGTCATCATATATAGACCTAGATAACTCAGATCTGATTATATATAGAGTTATATAAAATATATATACAATATATTAGTCTATATATGATTATATATATTTTATATAAAAATTTAGATATAATCATATATAATTGTATATAATTCTATATATTCAATATATAATCATATATAAATATATATGATTAGGCAAATTCTTTTTTTCCCGGGTACCTGATCGCTTTTTCGGGTCGATTCAATCCACTTTGCAACTGTTTTCCTACTAACTATTACGGTAGAATAAAATAAGTAAAACTAATAAATTTTACAACTATTTTTTGACTCTTTATATCAATGCGATTTTGTTTTCTCAACTTGCTTACAAATTACGGAAATAGTGTAAGTTTTAAGGTACTCAAAGAAAATAAGATAAAAATTAAGTAAGTGTTTTTATATTCTAATAAATACAATGAAATAATATTATAATATTTTAGCAGAACAACGTATCCCAGTCATTATATCATTATCAATTACATATGTACAATCATAAAGTAAACCTTATGTGTAAAGTATTACGATCCATAATTTATTCTTATTTATTATATATACTATATGATTATTACAATTTTTATTTGGATATTTTGAATCATTTTCTTTCACAAAATTTTAAATATTTAAAAAAATAAAGAACAAAATTTGTAGCGTGTCAATTAATTATTTCCGCATTTACGACTAATGATGAGAAAACAGTCGAGAGATACTTCGGCATATAAATTGTAATGGAAGAAAAAAAAATTAATTTCGTCTCTACTTCACGTTTTTAATTTCATGTTTGTTTGTCATGCTTTTTATAATTCAAATAATTTCATACAATTTCTAGTTTTTTCTGATTATAAAACACTTGATGATATACACCCTTGTGGAAATTTTTCGGACTTTTTTCAGAAAAAAACTTCTAAAGACTTTTAAAGACTTTTTCAGAGTTTTCGAGGTTTTTTGAGAAAAAAGTCCGAAAAATTTTCATAAGGGCATAGCTGAAAAAATTAGAAGAACAATAAAATTTTCTCAAATTTTTAGTGATTTTTAAAAAGCATAATCTCATGAAAATTAAAAACGAGCATTTTAAAACCGTAAGCATCTGGTTTTTTAAATTTTTGGCAAAAAACTTATGATCGACGATTATCGGATGGTCATAAAAAATTACACGCAACCAAAAATTTTCAAAAAATTTTTACCTGATCCACAGACTTGGTAAAATTTTTTTACTTCAATTAAGTCAATAGGAATGTCAACTCGTCTATGCGTTGGTCGAATTCAATATTCCAGAATCGTTCTCTCTGACCTCATAATGTCAACATAAAATGAATTCTCGATTTTTGAAAATCGAATTGAAACTAAAAACTTCCTGGATTTACCGAAAATTTTCAATTTTCATGACAGGAAGATCAAAAGAGCAACTATAATTATAAGATAATAATTTTTCATTGAGATACAGTCTTTTATAAATCACTGATAAATTAAGATACTTTTTTTTTTTTTTTTTTTTTCAATTGTCTCCAGCCACAATAAGTTATTCTCATTCATGTTAAATTTAATGTTCATTTTGTTACTTGGTTGATCATAAAATCATTTGCTTACGTGTTGAAAAAAATCTTGTACAATGTAGACAATCTCAAGTTTAGAATTTCTATAAACTTTTAATAATCGATAAAGATTCTACACATAAATATGTCCTTGTTTGATCAGATTCTTTCTACAAGGTTGATACATATTTTTATGCCGAGTATTAATGCAAGATAAGGATATAATCGATCATGAGGCCGCGTGATTGAAGATATAAATATAACAAGAAATATTATTCTTGATCTCATTATATACCTGATGTTACACTGACCGAATGATGTTTTTATAAAACTGATATCTGACAGTGCTTTGTCTCAATTTTTCACATTCCATGTTGTAATACGATGATCATATGTAAAATTTACTGAATGTGAAAAAAATTCTGAAAGAATTTAATTGAAGGATTTGTTTATTCTGTAAGTTTATGCCAATCTGCTATTTGTCGTCTAGGTGAACTGCAAACTTCATTCCAGTGAATCAGTGCTGTTCCTTCACACTTTTGTCCACCAAGTTCTACTCGTCCAATCACCTAAATAAACCATTTTTTATGTATAAAAACTTTGTATTCAATCTTATTACTAAATAAAAAAGGCTTCGACAATTACCTCATTTTTCGTAACACGATCCCAATCTAATAGTAAAAATTCCAAGCTGATATTCCCAAGTCCGTCAATACCATTAGGTATTTCGAAAACAAAAGATTCATTAAAAACTGGGTGCAATGTTCGCTTTTTAGTATGAGTTTTTTTCTTAGCTATGCGTTGTGAATTGTAGAGTAAATATATTTTAACGTATGGATCAGCTAAACCAGTAACATCCATTTTTGGTAAATTTCTTGCTTTCAAAACAACAACAGTCAGACGATTTGTTGCTGGTTGCCAGCATAAGGAAACTAACAATTCTCCTCTGCCTTGTGATTGAATCTATATTGTGAAATTTAATATTATAATTTTCATTTTTATATAAATTCAAAATTTTTTTTTAGAAATTGAAGGTACGGCACACAGAAGCTGATAAAATCAATTATCATCATACTGATGTGTGACCCTAATATTAGAGTCGACATTACCAGTACTGGTTTTAAGAATAAAAACAATACAATTATATATGAAAGTTTGAATACTACTTTTATTTGGTGATTTCATAGCATACAGCATTTCTGTGTTAGTATATTTAAGAAAAAAAAATATTGATATTTTTATCTAATTTTATGTGCTACAAAAGAATAGCTGATGTTTTTTCAACAATAATGCTAGGGAAATAAACCTAAACAATAAGAAATTTTTAAAGTATTCATTATTGAAAGATAAATATGCTATGCATACTGCCAAAATTTTATGTCGATTTATGAACACACTAAATCTGTTTTAAAATACTTAATTTTCGAATTTTTTTTTTAAATCAAAAAAGCGAAATCTATATATATATGAAATTTATTACTTAAAAATAACCTTAGGAAGGAATGATTTAAAAATGGCATTGATTGATCATAACATTTTTTTCACTATATACCTTCAGGCTGCGTGGACATATCTCTCGACATAGTGATATCGGTTGATTTTCCATATTTTCTGATCCAAAAATCGAAGATAAACTACATATAACTTCACCAATCATCGCATCTCGAGAATATCGATCAAAGCTCAGTACGATAAAGTGAAGACTAATTTTCTGTAAGCGAATGATTAATTACAAGTATAACAAAAATTAAAATATGATTGAAAAGAAATGAAATATACTTAAAAAAAAGAATTATACAACTTTGGAAATTTAAACTTTTTTTTTTTTTTTTTAATTTGTTACTACGGTAGGGGGTACACTTTTGAGATTGGAACTCGTTTGTATTTCTTGGGCTGAGCAGAATAATACACTTAAATATTGAAAATATTCATTGGTGTACGCCGGATTCGAACCCGGTCCAATGCTTTGGTAGCAAGGACCGGATCCGATAGGCTACTGCGTGCTTTTTAAACTTTTTGTAATGTGAAAACGCTGTTACTTTTTTAAAAAAGATTGTAAACTAAAAAAAGTGTCATTCGGCAACCGAAATAGAAGCAAATTTCCTATAGAATTTTAACGTTTTAAATTGAGACGAAATTCTTAAATCAAAGAAAATTTATTTAAATTAAGGATCCTTAACTAATTAAATTAAGGAACTTCGAAGTTCAAGCGAATCTAATGTGAAAAATAATTTTCAACTTTGAGCTTTGAAATTAAGTATACGTATAAATAAATACGAAATTTATTTAATCCCAAAATTTTAAAAAGATTCACCGTTTAGTTACTTAGATATTAAATTTCAAAAATCACAGTTTTTATCTCCTTATACACGGGCTCTTACGGCGGACAAACTTTAGTCGAGAGTCTCGACTCGAGACTTTAATTATTTCTTTCAATATTAACCTCCCAATTTTAACGAATAAAAAACTATACACAAGAAACTTGAATTATTGTAAAATATAAAAAAAATTTTTTGCTCGACGGGCAGAAAGCGTCAAATTTCGGCCCGCTGCGCTAAACGAAATTGCCACTTTCTGCCTTCGTCGAGCAAAAAAATAGCATACACTCCTCGGGAAGTAAATAAGAAAGCCTCAGATCACATGTTTGTTGACCTCGGCTTCGCCTCGGCCAACAATTACATGTGATCCCCAGGTAGGAAAGAACAACTGGACAAGACTTGGACCAAGCCTGGGCCAAGCGTCACCAGCCTTGGGTAAGGCTTGGCACGAGCCTTGGCTAAACATTGGGCCAAGGCTCGGTCCAAGCCTAGGATGATAACTATGTCCCCAAGCCTTGGGAAACCAAAACACAAGGCTTGGGCCGAGTCTTGGGAAACAAATGGCCCAGGGCTCGGACCAAGCCTTGGGGAACTAATTTGCCAGGACTAAAAAAAATGTAAACATTATTAAAAAATTAAATTTGATTTTAATTGTATTCGTGATTTTACGGTTTATTATCAGCTTTACGTTATCGTATCTCGCGATTACACCAGATTACCTTTAAAAAAATCTTTGCTCACGATGGGAATCGAACCTGGGTCACCCGCGTTAAAGTCTCGAACTGTACTGACTTCGCTGCACTTCGTAGTAACACTAACAGATTAGTTTTAGTTACTTAAACATCACTCAGTCATTTTGCTTTATTACATGATGTTCCATAATTAAAATTGAACTTATAACTGCTAAAAATTTTGTATAGTTCAGATAATATAATTTGTTGACAGAATACAGTTATGAAATGTATTTTTTTTAATTCATTTGATTTTAACGAAATAATTAAATTTTCTATTACCAAAAATAAATACATGATCATAATTCATAAAATTAATATTTTTTATCATTGAAAAAAATTTTTCTATGATTCAATTAAAGCACCAAGCTAGTTCTGAATTTATATTTGGTCCGATAGTAACTTCCCAAGGCTCAATTTGGAAATATCGAACCATTGAGCCAAGTCTCAAGTAGTCTCAAGCTAGACCCGGGCCAAGCCTCGGGTGTCAGTGACTTCCCAAAACTATAGTTTCACTGATAGATATATTTGTAGAAGTAATTTGTATATGTATAAGAGAGTGATAAACAAACTTACTTGTTAACAATTTTTTTCAATATTTTTTTTGGAGAGAAATAAACATTTTTAAAATATTCACAATATGTATCAGTATTAAATTTATCATTTTTTATTCACATGGAAACTATTTTTTGAGCAGTTTCGAGAGTTTTATACATTTTTCAGCAACAAAGAAATGATAGTTAAAAATAATTTGTCAACGATTAATAACTATATTTATTAAAATTTTTTTGTTGACAAGTTATTTATTGAATTCTAATAAATTCTATCAGTGTTCGAAGTATTGGGCCAAGTATCGAACCGGGTTTAAGTCCGTGGTGATTTTTCAAGGCTTGGTAGAAATGTATTGAGACATTGGGCCAACCATCGGACCAGGCCTCGGCCAGTTGTGATCTCCCAAAGCTTGGTTCCAAAATATTGAACCATTGGGCCAAGCTTCGGGCCAGGCTTCGGCCAGTGGTGTACCCCAAGGCTCGGCTTGAGAATGTCAAACCATTGGGCTGAGCTTCGGACCAGGCTTCGGCCAGTCGTGATCTCCCAAGGCTTGGTTCCAAAATATTGAACCATTGGGCCAAGCCTCGGGCCAGGCCTGGGCCACTGGTAACTTACCAAGGCTTGGCAAAGTAACAAATGGTCCAAGGCTGGGCCATTTGTCAGCATTGGCAAACCCTACCTGGGGATCTGAGACATTTCTTACTTTACTTCCCTCGGTGTGTAATATACAATAATAACATATTACCGATATAATTTTTGAAATATTTAAAGTTAAATTTTGTTTTTTACTCGTTTATCGTCAGCTATTCATTCGAATAAAGATTTGGCAATGTCGCGTCAATATCTGAGAAAAAAGAAAAGGATATAAGTATAGTTACACAGAGAGAAATATTTCTCACACACTCATCCACGTCTCTGTAATGGTTATAATCAAGCGCGCTGTTGCCAAATCTGTTTATTTAATCCAAGAAGTAATAAATATGAAAGTCATTTTATTAATTTATTTTATTAAATAAGTAAAAATCATCAATTATTAAATTGTTCAAATTATTTTAAATTAAAATAAAGAATTTTGACGAATATTGGGAAGACTGAAGGTAAAAATAGTATATTGTGTGACTAGGGATGAAACAAAACGATTTCAGACCAGAGTGAAGTTGCCTGCCCGAGCGAAGCGAGGGCTGGCATCACTCGGTCTGAAATCGTGTTTCATCCCGCGTCATACATTATATTTTTCATATAAGTTGCATTAAAAATGCTAGTTTCAATGTCTGGAGCCAACCAGAACTAGATAGTTTCAGACGAATAGCGAAAATACTATTTTATTATAAAATTTATAATAAAATAGAAAGTAATAGTTTATTTTTTATCAAACATTATTCGTAAATTGAATAGTTTTATTTTGTTATTCTTATTTATGCTTAATAACAGAATTACAATATATCAGTACAGTTAACGGTTAGAATGACAATTATAAAGGTATAAAATAAACAAACAATTGATAGGATTGAAAATAAAGCTGCAACTTCATCTCGCGGGCAGGAATTCGTCATTTTCTGTCCGCCGGGAAGTAATAATTGATTCCTACCCGGCACAGTCGCATTGGTCTAAAATTGTCTAGTTTCAGTTGGCTCAACAGGCATTGAAACTCGCATTTTCAATACAGGTTATATGAAAAAAATTTTAAGACTATTTTAACTCATAAGTTACGCTCGAACCTCCTTAAGTAAAAAAAATAGCTTGATTCGAGAATTTTTCTGCCTATGTCAACGTTATAAAGCTCTTCAAAATAATTTTCTTGGTTCAAAAATTTACCTTTCGAATCATGTTAATGTTTTTTCCAGTGTAGCTGTTTAGTTTATAGCAAAAGTGTAATAAGGATAATGCGTACATCCCAATTCAAATTGAACCTTTGAAAAAGACGTGAATCAATGTTAATTTTTCTGAAAAATAAACACCTGTAGATGATATTTTAGAAATTTCAATAGAAAATTCAATACATTTTGGAAAAAAAACGATTACAACCGTAAATCTCGTAATAGGCATATAAAAATAGGAGGTAATTTTGAGTCCAAACATACGTCATAATACTCAAATTAAAGTTTATTTCAAAACCTTTCAGATTATCAAAATTTTAAAATTATGTAATTTCGAACTACTAGACTGATCAAGTTCATCTGGAAGCTTGACCTTTGTATTTATCTATAGAATACGTATGATGAGTTTGGTAAAGATCCATTGCAAATTGTAGATGCTATCATCCTAACAAGCCGCGTATGATAAAACGCGTTGTATACCTCATTTATATGTAAATTGAAATTTAAGTCTAAATTTTTTAAAAATTCCGCCATGAGGACCAACGTAATAGTTAAATTTATATTAAATCTATTAAAAAAGTCTTTCAGTATCTGAAATGGAAGTAGTCGATTTCTTGAAACTAAATTAAAAAAATTAGGAAAACGGTTGACCTTGAAGGCCATCCCTGCAACTTCCCGCCAATTCTATACCTAAACGCTTGAAATTGCACTTATGACGTTTTAGAGCTCTTCAAGCTCATAAATACAATTTGTGTATTTTATTTTGAGCTCTCCGAGCTCAAAAAAATAGCTTTTGTATGCATTTGAGCTCTTCGAGCTCAAAAGTTTGATAAAACACTATTGTTTAATTTTTAAATCGCAATAACTTTTGAATGAATGAACCGATTTGAATGAATGAACCACATACACACACACACACACACACACACACACACACACACACACACACACACACACACACACACACACACATACATACATACATACAGACACCATCGCGGGAATAGTCAGGGAAGCTTTCTAGGACCTCGAAACGTCGAGATTCGATGAAAACTCGATTTTCGTAAAACGGGGTGAAAACAATAACTTCCCGATTTTTGAAAATCTTCGATTTTCTTAGCGGGAATTTAAAAAAACTATTAGTGTAGTTTGCGGTTTTCACTATTCTGAAAGTTTCTAATGACTACCGTTTCTAAACATCGGCCGATTTTGCTCGTCTTTGAACTCGTTCAAGGTATTTAACCAAAAAAAAGTGTGGAGAGTTTCATAAATGGACTTTGTTATGCAATAGTGTGTTAAGTACATATGATTTCCATAGCACAACACATTAATGCATAACAGTGACCAAAAAGTTTGGAAAATCCAAAAGTACACGCTTCATAATCTCATTTTTCACAGTAAAATTGATTAAAATAAATGATCAAAAGCAAAATAATAAAAAACAGAAAACTCTGCTATGGTTTGGTGGCGCCATAACTCTGAGGTGAGGAAAAAAAATACTATAATAAAATGTATAGATAGATATACAAAAAATTCCACAGTCATAAATTAGTTTTTTATAAATAATAATTTAACGACAGTGAATTGAACGCTCATGTTAATTAAGAAAATCCGTCGTGTGTTACGTTAGATAATAAAAAAAAAATTATTCCGGTACGATTATTTTTTCGACCAATTTCCCTGCCACATAGACCCATCCATACACGGACGTCCAGAAAAGATTATGTTTAATGTTATTATTTCCTATGTTAAACAAAAAAATTGTTATTGAAATATATTTTATGTGCCTGACAAATTATTTGACTTGATATAAGTATACTCATATTAATCTGTAAGTGCGATATAAATAACAAAAAATCAATTTCAGTTTCGAGAAAACCTCTTTTTTTGAAATGTCGAGAGTAGAGCACAACCTCAACGCTTCGCTTATGAGGCGTGCAATATCCTTCAGTTATTGTGGGCAGTACACAGAAAGAAAAATTTTTTGACTGGAGAACAAAATTCTTGGCTCAAGAAAATTTTAGGGTGCCTGAAGAAAGACCGAAGTTGTGTTGGCTAAAGTAAAAATTTTTCTTAGAATTCAATTCTTGGTGGAAGTAATTTTTTCTTAATTCAAATTATCATAAATATTTGATACAATAAATTTTTACATTTGATCAAGATTTTTAGATACTTTAGGGAAGCAGCGCCACCCTACTTCAGCTGAAAAAAAAATTTTTTCATCTTGATTCAATATTATTTGATTTTCCCATTTGACATGTTAACCAATAAAAATATTAATGAAATTTTACTATCAAGATATTTAATTTTTTAGAGCAAAAGAGAAATTTTCTCAAGAAAAGAAAATTTACTTCTATTAAGAACTAAATTTTTTGGAGCAAGAGGCTGAATTTTTTCAAAACAACAAGATTTTCTTGACTTAAATAAATTTTCTTGGATCAAGATACGGATTTCTTAAAGCAAGAGAATTATTTTGTCTCAATAAGTGAAATTTCTTGTGTCAAAAAATTTTTTTTTCGTTCAAGAAAATAATTAGGAAGAAAAATATTTTTTTTTTTTTTTTTAAGTACATAAAAAACCAAAAATTTTGGGAAAAAAATTTTAATTGGGACCATATAAGTAGAAATTATGAGCAAAAAACCAAAAAAAACGAGACTTTGTTTGTGAAAATTCGATATCTTTGAAGCTTTTGAAGTTTTTTTTTTATAAATGAGCATGAAATTCTGTCCGAGGGTGTGTCAAAGTAAAGGACCTGTCACAATTAGAGCGCTTAATATTGACATTTAAAGGTAGTAAGTCGAAATTTTCCATTTTTCATTACAATAACATGGAAAAAAATTTGAAAAACGGTTGGCCCTGTAGGTCATCCCTGAAACTTCCCGCTATGTAACGGGCTCAAAAAAATGATCTATTCCAAATATTATTTTTTATCTACCAAACGATCAGACGTGAAATTTTGAAGTAATGTAAAAAATACTCTTTTCCAAACAGAAATTTCGGAGTTATGTAAATAGAACGCTTTTTTCCAAATTTTTCGACAACGATATCTCTTGAATGGATCAACTGATTTTAACTTGGTTTACGGCAATCGAGGTCGATTTTGAGGTTAAGAGCTGATGAGATTTAGTAATCGGTCAACACCCTACTTTTGAAGTTATTCTAAAAAAATTTTTTTTTGAGAATTCTCAAAATCTACCCAGCTGAATTTGATTTAAACTTACAGAAAATCTAATAGCAACGAAACTCTTCTGAACGCCATCAACCCCGCTTTGATCGGTTAAGTCGTTCAAAAGTTGTAAGAAATTTTTAGATCTCAAAAGCTGATTAGTTTTTGGAATTGATCGGTAGAGCCGTTTAAAAGTTATTCTAAAAAAACAACATTCATCGTTATGAATCGGTCCAAATCGTATTCAAAATCTAAGTTTGGCCAAGCCCTTTCGAATGGCGCCAACTGGGATGAAATCGGTCAAGCCGTTCAAAAACTATAAGAGGTTTATATACACCTCTATGAGCTAATATGAGCTAAAATTCTTATGAATATTTCGAAAGTTTATTAATTAAATAGAAAAATTTTAAAAAGTTACTAAAAAGCTATTGAAATGAGAAAGCTTTGGGATTCGGATACCAAATGGATTTTTCAAATGGTTAGAGTAATCAATTAAATACATTAAGCCTTTTTATAGAGCGTTAAATTTCTTACAAAAATAGATTATCCTCATTTGACAATATTTATTTTTCAATGAGATAGAAAATTATTTAAAAAAAAATTTTTTTTGACCAATTCTTCAAACTTTGATATCGAATATCTTTGAAACGGTTAAAGTAATTGCTTAAACACATCTGTCTTTTTTTGTAGAAGATGTAATTTTTTACAAAATCATGTATGAGTATTTGATAAACCGATTGATTCATAATGAGATGTGGTCTTTTATATAAGGGACTAGAGAAAAAATGGAAAATTGTGATAAGAAGAATTTTCCCATCAATATAAAGAGTTAAAATTTGGTGAGCACTTTCTAGAGTTGTCAAAGAACCAACTTTTCAGTGTCGTAAGTAAAAAAAAAAAAATATTTGATTTTTTTGAATCATCCTACTGTGTATAAGATCACAGAATTACTTATTTAATTAAAGACATTTTTTTTTTTAATTTCGATTTGTGAAAAAATCATTTTATATCTATTTTTCTCAGTAACAGCGTTTTATGAGTGCTAAAAAATTTCGTTTTTCAATTTTTTGTGAAGTATATTCATCAATTACGACTTTATATACCTGGAGTTGACTTTGTGAGACGCCAAAAAATGTAAAGTCCTCATCATAAACAGGATCACGCGTATTTCTTAGAACTCTTGTTTTTACTCTATCCTCTTTATCTGGTAAAAGTTGAAGCTTGATGTAAGGATCACTGGTTTGATGTCCACGGGCTGGTAATCCTGTGCATTTAACAACTGTGACTGCAAGTGCGTTTTGATCAGCTTGGTAGCGTACTTTAAAAAATAACTGTCCTAGTTCGTTTTTATTTGTGTCACCATTGATCAGTGTACGCTCTGCTTTTTCACTAGATTCAAACTCAGCTTTATCTTTTTCATTTTCAACAGTAAGTGTAACCTCACTGGATGTCTTCTGAACTAAGTTATCGTTTCCTCCTGTAAGTGATTTCAGCTGCGAAGAAAAATTATTAGAATTCTGGAGTGGCTGAGAGCCAGTTGGACTGGGTGTCTGTCCTCCAGAACCAGGTGGACTCTTAGCAGGCCCCGTAGGACTTGGACTTTTTTTTAAATAATGACTTGTACTTCCTGGACTTTTAACCGCTGTTGGCTTGCGATGAGGTGGTCGAAATGCCAATGACTTGTCCATGGTTAATTTTGTGTGCTCTCGACGTCGACGATATAACCACCAGGTCATCGCGGCGGCGCATATTGCTGCTATTGCAGCAATACATAATCCAACGAGGGTGTTCGTTGATACTGAAATTTTTACTATTGATATTGAATCTATTTATGCATTTATATTTTGTTAATAAAAAGAAAATTAATAATTGGTAATCTATATTTTTTTATCGAAAATTTTAATATCACGTCACCATAATTTGCGATTGTAAAAATAATTTAAAATTAATATATTTAATGACAGTATGATTTATTGCTAAATACTGAGTCTTTCAAAATAGCCGAAACTCTATAGATGATATCCACTCATGACATTTATAATTTATTATCTGTGCTATCATTTTATCCATACTTTTGTATCCATGGATTCACATTTTTTTTGTGAAGAAAAAAATTTATGGTTTTTGATTTTTTTAACGTAATTGTAATGTGTAGCAAAATATTATTCATCAGTTGTTTAATTATAAAATAATGATGCATCATTTTACGTAAGAACCATCTGGAAGTAGAAGTGTGTATAAATAATTAAAAATTGTAAAAAATACTTACCCGATTCAACAGGCCTTATTAAAGGTCCATCCTCCAAAAGACCATCGACCATGTTAGTCGTTTTATTATTAATAATCTTAGTTGAATAACGAAAAACTACTTGCTTCACTAGACAAAAGACTCGGGCGTTATTTACGGCGTGTAATAGAATCCTTCATATCTAGAAACACTACCGAAAGACTTCGATCAATAGCTTGTTTAACGTGACTTGCGCGAAAGGGTAGTTGTTATTGTTATTAAAATTTAAGCGGAAGTCAAACTAACAATTGTATGTAACTGCTTTTAAGAATTTTTACTGGTAAAATAAATAATTTCAATTGTAATAATTCTCATCGATTTTGAATGACCAGCCCGCAATTACTTATTTGAACCTTGACCAAATCAACAAAAGCAAAAAAATTACATCTGAGGTAACTCAGGTACGTTAGGGGTAGTGATTCCCATGAAGGTAATTAATATAGTAATGTATGAAAGAAATTAATATTATTATATATGCAGCATATAATAAAAATATATTTTTTCTATTAAAAATATAAATTATTTTCAGGGGGAAACAACAAAAAAAATTTTCACAGACTTAATACAAGAGGTCATATATACACAAATAGTCATGCACACAAATGAGCATAAAGTTATATTAATACTTAATTAAGACAATAACTAAGAAAGAAATTTATTTTTGTCCGGCCTTAAATTTTTGTTTTACTACAATTACATGATCCATTGAAATATTAGTAAAAAATTTTTCTTTGCGTATGATGTTTTAATTTTTTCAAAATTACTAAATTTACAAATAATATGTGCTTCATAGAAAATAATATGTGAAGCTAAAATATCTATCATTTATTAAAAATTAGTAAAACCAAATAAGATATTAATTGGAACTTTGACAAGTACTCTTTTAAAATGAATCCGTGTTATTTCACTGATTCAATTAGTGAACTTCTGACTCACGCGCATGCGTGTAGATATTATATTCATTGATTCAATTATTCAATCAGTGAATTTCATCGATCATTGGATGAATCAGTGAAATTCCGCTAATTAATTTTAAAAGAGTATCCACATAAATCAATCTGAAAAACGGTTGACCTTGCCGGCCATTCCAGGAATTTTCTCCTATGACCGATTTCAAAACCCTTGAAAAGTTATCTACAAAATTGCACGCCTCATAGCGCGAAGCGCGTGAGGTTGTGATCTATACCCAACTCGTCAAGGTTAAACAATTTTGTGATCTTCAAATGCCTCTGTCACAACCATATTGCAATTATACAATAACATAAGTAGATGTACACTGAGAAAATACTTAAACTAAACCATAAATAAAAAATATATAAATTACATAATCAAATACTTTGAAACAGAAAATGTGATACAACATGGATCCTAAAATCATATCTGATTAAATTTTCTTTTATTGCGAGTATTTAAAGCTCAATAACTTTTTACTCGTTAAGATTACGAAAAAACTACCTCAGTATTTTTTTTGTAGAGAATTAAATTCCCTACAAGAATAATTGACGAAAAATACAAAAAAAAATATTTTCCGTAGTTTTACCGGATGAAAACGTAAATAAAATTTTTTTACGTATTATTTAAATGGGAAAATAAAAATTCATTGAGCTTTATGAAGAATTGAGATATCAAGCTGCGCTTTGAAGGGAATTTTTTTTATACCTTAGAGAAGCTTTTAAGATGATAGGCAAAAATCTTTTTTTTTTGGACCACTCTAATATATATATAAGCGATCATTTTTTTTTCCACCGCGGTAAACTTGAAAACTGCTGGACCAATCGGCATGAAACCATGACCATTCCACGCGGAATTAGTTGTAGAAGGTTTAGGCCATTCATTTTTTAAATTCTATCAACCCTTTACCATTTTTTTCAAATTTAATCGGATAGTCATTTGCTTCCGCTAATAAAACAAATGAACAGCATTTCTTCTTCATACTTTATTCGAGCGCATGAAAACCGGCAAAATGTCTAACATCACCTTAACGCTTTTAAACGCGTTTCCGCACATACCCTCCCACGCCTCCACCTACGCACTCCCGTGCATCCACAACGTTGTGACATGAAGTATTGTCGCGAGTAACGGAAGGTTAACCCTTTAACGCTCTGGAGTCTCGAGAAATCTTGGTGTGAGCCTGAACAGGGCAAAACCAATAATAATGCGTTATACGGCTGTGTGTTATACGGCTGTGTGTTATACGGCTGTGTGTGAGTAGCGGTGTGACTGTATAACGTGTCCGTGCGCCCCCTTCTACTATTTTTCAAGCCCCTTCTCTACAAAACAGACTATAGTTCTCTCTCACTTAAAGAAAAAGACGGACGATTGAAATTGGGAGTAGGGATTCAAGGTCGACCGTTAAAGGGTTGAAATTGCAAAAGATTCAAAATCTATATATATGGGGTATTCCATATGGATGCATATGCATATGCCAAATCGACCACTTTTGAACTCAACCCTTTTTGATTTATCCCGGGAAAAAATGATCAGGCCTGACATTGGACCTGATCATGCCTATTCATGTATGATCAGGCCTGTATGACAGGCTTTTTTATTTTCAAATAGCCATAACTTTTTTAGACATTGACCTATGGGTACCTTTTTTTTTAAAAAAATTTTTGTTTTTGAATAAACTTTTCGAAAAAATACACAAAAAAAATTAAATGTGATAAATTCTATAAAATAATCGGTTTTTTTGAGCAAAATCTTTATTTTTTCAAAGCTCGTCACTTTTTTTTTAACTTCCCGCTAAGAAAATTTAAAATTTTCAAAAATCGGGAAGTTATTGTTCTTACCCCGTTTTTCGAAAATCGAGTTTTCATTAGAACTCGACGTTTTGAGGTCCTACACGGAAAAAAATAAATAGTAAATGCAACATGATGCAGTCTTGGTAAATAAACATAATGAAATCATGTTGCATCCACATGATTTGTCACGTTTCGGCTACATGACAATCATGTTGCGATAGCATGGCAATCATGTTGCGGTAGCATGAGAAAAATCATGTGGCAGTAACATGATTTTCATGTAGCCTTAATAGCATAAAATTAAGCTGCAACAACTAAATATTTATGCTTCAGAAAAATTATTCATTTATGCCGCTTGGGAACCTAATTTTAAATTCTAGCATTTGAATTACAAATCAAATTTTTAATTTAAAATTCCAACTATTGAATGACACTGAAATTAGCATACTGGACAATTTTTTGATTTTTTTTTTAAGAAATAAAATAAGTCTAAAAATTTATTTTTAAAACATTGCATTTGTAATTTTTTAGAGTCTTTAAAGATGGAATTTTTGAAATATATTTTATTGCTATAGTTTATTTGCTAATAAAAATTATCACATATCTCTCAGTTTAAATATCATAGTTATTGATTGAAAAGTAATTTTTTAATTTTAATCTTATTATAAAAACTATGAAAACGAAGAATTTGATTTTCGATTTTTAGCCGAAAATTATCAAATTAATAGAATTCCTAACCTGAACAACGAAATTGTTAAGACAATTTATTTTGATTTAAAAACGGCGCTACCGTAGAGATAGCAGTATCCTGAAGTGTGTTCCGTTTTAAACAGTTATCAGTGAACCAGTGTCGCTGGCTATGAAAGAACGGCTTCATGGTGGTATACTATTGGTAAATTGACTTGAGGTCTTACAATGGCTGCGTTCAAGTTTACTAAGGGCCAGTTTTTCAATACTAGGTTTAAGTATTTTATCATTGTGAATATATCTATCTGAACAAAAACAGTTTCACTGTAACAAATTGCGCCAAGTACACGTTCACAACTTTTGATTTACAAAAAAACCATGGAGAAATTATCACTTTACAAAAAGATGTAAAATCAAAGAAAAGACAGACCAAGTAGCCGTTATAATTTTTAATTGAAAAAATTTTGTGGTAAATTTAACAATTACGAACAACTTTTCAAACGTACTCGGCGTGCGTCATTGAGTACCCCAAATTTTTTCAGATGTGTTGTAATATTGTCACAATATCCGTCAGATAACTCATTCATGTCAACAGTCAGTAGTTTAATAATTATCTTAACTCCTGTTCTTTTCTTCTTCACAGCATTATTGCATGCTTTAAGCGCGATCGCGCGAAGGCTTAGCTCTACTAGCGCCTAAAAATCCAGTTTCCTATCTCGTCAAGAAAAATTCAATTTTAATCATAATCCTTCAACAATTATTTTTTCATTAAAAACGATCCAAAAAGAAATGTCGAAGCTATGTAAAAAAAATCACTTTTTTCGAAATTTTTCGCTTTTGATAACTCCCGAACGAATCAATCCATTTTGACGGAACTGACGGCAATAGACGCAGTATTTCGAATCTAAGAGCGGATGAGATTTTGAAATCAACTAGCGGAGTCATTTAAAAATTATTCCAAAAAAACCATTTTTTGAAAATCTTATTTTTGAGATTTCTCAAAATCAAGCGAACTGAATCGATTCAAATTTTTACCTAATTTAATGGCAATGATACTCTTTGGATCGTCAATTATCTCGATTCGATTGATCGAGATGTTCAAAACTTATAGATTCATATGGTTGCATCAAAATAATCATCAGTAGGGTCAATGACTTGGTGAGGAGGGGCTGAAAGAACTGTAGTCCCTAAAATCGCTTTTCGCATCAGTTCTTTGGGCTTAGTTATCAGACATGAAAAAATTTGGGGTACTCAATGACGCACGCCGAGTACGTTTGAAAAGTTGTTCGTAATTGTTAAATTTACCACAAAATTTTTTCAATTAAAAATTATAACGGCTACTTGGTCTGTCTTTTCTTTGATTTTACGTCTTTTTGTAAAGTGATAATTTCTCATTGGTATTTTGGTAAATCAAAAGTTGTGAACGTGTACTTGGCGCAATTTATTACAGTGAAACTGTTTTTGTTCAGATTTTACATCTTTTTGTAAAGTGAAAATTTCTCTTCGGTTTTTTTATAAATCAAGAGTTGTGAACGTGTACTTGGCACAATTTATTACAGTGAAACTGTTTTTGTTCAGATAAATTGAATCGTTAAATTATTACAGT